TATTTCTTGGCGGCAAGAATTGCTCGTTGACTTAACCAAGCATAATTCTGATAATTCTCACTAATGTCATTACTCGAATTTTTAATTACGGTGCGTGAAGTTCAGCAATTTGCATTAGGGCACGATGCCATGCACCACTAATTTTCTATAAGCTATAAACCTTGCGGAACCCGAGACTTTTCCAACGAATGCAAAATTGTCGAAATCGGTTTGTGCGTTCTGGAGTTATTTTGTCAGGAAGGAAAACACGACTTATATATATATATATATATATATATATATATATATATATATATATATATATATATATATAGAAAATAACTTGCCCTACGGGAAGTTAATAAAATAAAAATTGTATCAAAATATATTTAACCTTGTATTCCAATTAATTTAATCACTTATATAGTTTTCACATTGTTTTACAAATTGCAATGAATTTTATCAGATAAAAACTACAAAGATTTGATTTATATATCACCATCTCACCGGCTATTAAAATTCCTGATGAACAATTGCAACAAATGCACATATGCACATATTTAATCAAGTGAAAGATTCCTATCGCAATTATGTGTTTCTTCACTTTAATAATAATAATAATAATTCTTCATAATCTCGGAAACATAATATTTGTTCACATAAAATAAATATACATACAACTTGTGTGTAATAATAATTGTATGAGACCGTTTGTTCGCCTGGATTTATTATTTTTATTCACGTACTTAATTTGCGTAACCTTAGCTCTGAGATTATAATTTATCTTGGACGTGATATAATATATATATATATATATATATATATATATATATATATATTTGTGTTAAGGTTTTTCAGTAGAAAAAATAAAAACAGAAAGTAAATATAAATTCGTTTCGAGCTATTATACTAGCTCTTCATCCAGCTAAAATACAAAAAGAGTAATAAAATAAAGTAACAAAATAAAATAAAACAGAATTAAAGTTTTATGTACCAAACCAGTTAAAAATTATTTTATATTAAATTTGACATTTATAACATCAATATTTTGTTCTAAAACCAAAAAAATATGTATATTCATATAGAAATTAAAAAAATAAAATCAAGTAATCAAAATATTTCGAATTCTGAAAAAGAAGAAGAAAAGAAAATATCAAGTGGCAAAAAATCGTTCAAATATTAAAAAAATCAGACTTACATACATTAATTAAATTTTGATAGCTGTCGAAAAGCAAGGAACTTTTCTTATTTACACATTGTGAATTTAAAAAAACGAAAACAGAATCAACAAACCTTCTTAGGTCAACATTTTGTTCAATATGTAAAATAATGGGATTGTTTAAATCAAAAGTGTGTTTAAAATTTTGCATATGGTCAGATAACATTGTTTTGTATTGATTTTCATTTTTTGAATTATAATTATGTTAAAGCATTCTCTTAGATATATATTGTGAAATCTCTCCAATATAGAATTTTTCACAATCATTACAATTCACTTTGTGAACGGAGTCAACAATTCTATTATGTGATGTTTTTGATTTTGAAGAATATATATATATATATATATATATATATATATATATATTAATTTATTACTCTACGTGGACTGCTAGTCTTCATATGTTTTCCATTTTATAAAGTGGCAAAAAATAGAAGGAGACTGTGACGTCACTTAGTGAACGAGTGTTGCCGACAATCGTGGAACTCTCAGATTAATTAAATGATTCTAGAAGGCTTTTTCAAGTTTTTAGTAGGCTTTTGGTAGCTTTGGAAGGCTCTGGCTAGTTTCCAGAAGGCTTTGACTAGTTTTTAAAATACTTTGGCTAGTTTTGGAAAGCTTTGATTAGTTTTTAGAAGGCGTTGGCCTATTACTGAAGACTTTGGCTAGTTTTTAGAAGGCTTTGACTACTTTCCAAAAGGCTTTGGCTAGTTTTTTGAAGGCTTTGGCTAGTTTTGGAAGGCTTTGGCAGATTTATATTCATTTATTTATTTATCTTTATATTTATATTACGGATACAGGATTAAATTTAGTAATTACAGAAAATAAATTATCTCAATTGAATTGATTACAGTAAAATACAACTACAAAACAATATTAAGCCTAACACTAGTATTATCTACTACAATAACTTGAAGAAAAAAATGTTGTAATATTGAAATAGTTTATTTAAGGCTTGTACGCCTTGAAATTCTACTTATTTTAAAAAAATCCTTCAAATATCTGTCATGTAATTTTGAGTTCCATTTTTGGAAAATAATAATTAAGAGCAGTATAAAAAAATAATATAATATGAAAATAATTGTAATGATCAAATACTTAGGGTAGAAAAATGTTAAAATAATTTGGAATTAAAATTAGAAAAAGTATGGAAAGGGGAAAAATTAATTGTAATCGTTGGAAAAAAATCAAATATTATCAGTAGGCATTTTATTATCAAAATAATGTTTGATATCGAAATTGGCAAACTCAGAAGTATTGCAGAAACTTTCGGCTTTTAAAAGTTTAACAATGGTATTACTGAAGGCTTTGGCTAGTTTTGGAAGGCTTTGGCTAGTTTTGGAAGGCTTTGGCTAATTTTAAAAGGCTTTGGCTGGTTTTTAGAACGTTATGTTTTGATTCTAGAAGGCTATGCCCTGATTCTAGAAGAATATGTCGTGATTCTAAAAGACTAGACTAGATATCAAAAAAATTGTCTAGGTTTTAGAATTTGTCCCGTTTTTGCAAGGTTTTGTTCACTTTTTTGGAGAATTTGTCTAGTTTTTTATTTTAATTGGTAAATGCTCAATATTAAATTATATATATTATAATAGTTAATTTAGTTAAAATATTTTTTTTGAAACTTTTATTTCCATAATATAATGGAAATTGTTTGGACTGATAATTTTATAAGAAATGTTATAAATAATATTATTAATGCGCATGCAATCAATCGGGAGTGTTTTACGATTGTCGGCAACGTTCGTTTACTCATTGATGTCATAGTCCCTTCTATCTTGCGACACTCGACATCTTAGGTCGACTTATCTCGAAGTTTCCAGAAACATTTACAACTGTAATTTTAGTGTTTTCTTAAAATTTATAACTGTCAAAATTGATTGAAATTGTGAAAATTTTAATATTAAGGTTATAAACACGGATTTTTAATATTGCCTATAACCTAAGTTGGATATAAATGCATAAAGTGAGCCAAAAAAATTTAAAATCGGTTCAGCACTTTAGGTGTGCATTGAGGACGAACATCGTAACACGTACTTTGTGTATGAATACGTCTGTTGTTTTATTATTATTATAATCCTCCGAACTAGAAAAAGTACCGTAATAATTATAGGACGGCCTTATTAAGTAACTTCTTGGTCTTGATATATGAGTCCTTTCTTTCTTCTTTTACAAACAACAATAAAGAATGAAGAAAAAATTGAAGAGTAATTCCTTAAGAAGAGAATTCACACGGTTTAATATGCATATGCAAGTAGTGAAGAGAGAATAATATATAAGTGCAAAAAGATTTATATCTAAAGTCTAGTTTCTGTCACATGATATGCATAAAAATAAAAACCTCACCTTACCAGCAGATT